TTACAGAATACATTTTAGGGCATGTATTCTGTAATCTGTAATGGAATACATTTTAAAAGTAACCTTCCCAACACTGCTGATAATAGATCATTGACACTGATGGGATCAAATGCAATCACTTTTAACAAATTTAAAAAACAGTGAAAGCCTGGGAATTTAAAAGCCGGATACCTCAGGGCCTTCTGCTGAGTGAACACTGAAACTGTATTCAGTGAATGACTTTGAGTGACATCGAGAAAACAACATGATTAAGGAAGATAATGCCCTTTTGGAACCCACTTAAGTCTTGAGTCAAGGCATCTCTTTCTTAAAGCAGAAGGTTATTGTACCATCAGTGTCACTGGAGACTGTTTTAATCTACATTTATTCATAATAATTCAACCAGACTCAGTTGTTTGTGTTTCTGCTATATATTTGTGTAAAATAACTCTTCAGGGACTGCTTTGGATGTTTCAAACAGTCTAATAGCCCTCATGTGAAAACCTCTTAAAATTAATAAGTGTACAATGAAAAATACTATTTTGAGTTTACTGTGCATTGATTGGTTTGTGTAAATATCCAGAGATTCAGTGTAAAGGTCTTTAAATCATAAAAAGAAAGTCAAATATTATGATTCAGAAATGTTTTCTTTGTACTATTGCAAGGTCTTTACCTTACAATGTAAAGTGCCTTGAGGCAACTGTTGTTGTGCTTTGGCACTATATGAATAAAATTGGATTGAATTGAATTGTTGACACGGGAAAGTCCTTTCAAGCTGATGTAACTGACAAATGTGTACAGTTAAAATACAAAGACAGCTATTGTGATGGTGTTGATAAGCTTAACAGCACGTGTACACCTGGAATCGATGTGTTCCTTTAATTCTGTGCTTAGCATTCTTCTGGTATTAATGTTGTTTTAATCTAAATCTCTCTCTACATTTTGTCATTAAAAATACTTCTTCTTTGTGTATTTGCATCTATTCTACCAATAAAGATAGTTTTGTTGATGCAGTATATCAGATTACAAACATTTGTTCATTATTGATGATTTCTTCCTCACTTTCTTGTTGTCAAATTCAAATAATATATGGCATGTTTTTATATGCAAAAACAAACAAACAAACAAACAAACAAACAAGCAAAAAAATAATAATTGGAAGGTTGTGTTTTAATCCCCGACTTCTCCAGCCTGCCTGTCAAAGTGACCTTGGGCAAGATAATGAACTCTGTGTTTCATTCATTGAAATCAGAGTTTAAGGAACAGAAATGCATCTGAATGTGTGTGCTTCAATGGGTGAATGAGGCTTGTACTAAAAAGCACTGTGAGTGCTCAGTTAGAGAAGCCTTCAGCTAATCCAAAATGCTGCAGCAAGAGTACTGACAGGGACTAGAAATAGAAAGCATATTTCTCCTATACTGGTTTCGCTCCATTGGCTCCCTGTTAAATCCAGAATTGAATTCAAAATCCTCACATACAAAGTCTTAAATAATCAGGCCCCATCATATTCTAATGACCTTATAGTACCATATCACCCTATTAGAGCACTTCACTCTCACACTTCAGGCCTACTTGTTGTTCCTAGAGTATTTAAAAGTAGAATGGGAGGCAGAGCCTTCAGCTTTCAGGCCCCTCTTCTGTGGAACCAGCTTCCTGTTTGGATTCAGGAGATGAACACCGTCTCTACTTTTAAGATTAAGCTTAAAACTTTCCTCTTTGCTAAAGCCTATAGTTAGGACTGGATCCTCCCTTAGTTATGCTGCAATAGGTGTAGGCTTCTGGTGGGTTCCCATGATGCATTTAGTATTTCTTCTTCATGTGTTAATAGATCTCTCTGCATTGAATCATACTTGCTTTTAATCTGTGCCTCTCTTCCACAGCATGTCTTTATCCTGTCTTCCTTCTCTCACCCCAACTGGTCGCAGCAGATGGCCCCGCCCCTCCCTGAGCCTGGTTCTGCCGGAGCTTTCTTCCTGTTAAAAGGGAGTTTTTCCTTCCCACTGTCGCCAAAGTGCTTACTCATAGGGGGTCATATGATTTTGTTTTGTTTTTTCTGTATGTATTATTGTAGGGATACCTTACAATGTAAAGCACCTTGAGGCAACTATTGTTGTGATTTGGTGCTGTATAAATAAAACTGAATTGAACTGAACTGAACTGAACTGAATTGAATTGAATTGAATTGAATTGAACTGAAGAAAAGTGCTACATGTATGCTGCTGACATATCTGAGCTACATTAAAATCTCTGTTGCTAGAAAGCTAAACAGGTTTGCTTGTAAGTTTTAAATGGCTTTCAATCTGTCTCACTATTCAGAAATATAGCTGCAAACGTTAATATTGATTGGGCTGTAGAAAATTATTTGTGCTTTAAGAGCTGATAACGTGACACCAGCCTCAGCCTAACTATAGCTCTGATTCAGGCTGTCATAAATACTTATAATAGCAGTTTAATCCTATTGATCCAGTCCCACCTCCCTCCCTATTGCACTATATTCATAATCCCCTGCAAACATAACTCTGGTCTCACTTTCACTGTACATGAAGCAGCTAACCTAACCTACCTCAAAAAAGTATAGAGGATCCTTTTGGGAACCCTATTCTCTTTATTTCAGTCAGTCCATTAATCAATAGATATCTAATCTGCCTTGCGTTTGATCATTACATGCATTTTAGTGCAACCCACGGTATAGTGTTATTTAAAAATAACACTATACTGTGGGTTGCTTTGTCACTGTAATGTAAAATCATTAATGGCTGCAGGTTTCTTAACTTCACACAAACAGTTTAAATGGAAATGCATGAAAATTTAAGGTTACAGTTACTTATGAGAATAATGGTTTTAGTGCATAAACTGAGAGCATTGTAAAAGATAAACTATACCATTTGTTCCAGTTGTATTTCAAGTATAACCTCATATGTGTGGGCCTATTCCAAATGTCTTTGATTTTTTCTTCTCTAACTGCATAAAATATCTTGGCTCAGTAATAGAGTGAAAACTCTGAGTGATGCTGACAGTAAGTAAATTGGATTTTGTTCCATACTGCTGGACCCCACCGTATTCTTGCTCTTAGGTAAACAGTAATACATATTTCCTGTGTTTATTTCCTCAGACCTACAAGCCTGTGTTGATGGGCTTCAGGTAAATTCACCTGTCATAATAGTTCAATAGACCCTCCCATACTATGAGTCCATCAGATAAGTTTGCTGATCAGACACTGGCCTGCTTTCCCATTGGTTCCTGGGCTCTAATAGGATCCCAGGGACTCTACTGTGAGGATTACGGTTCCAAACTCTCGACTTTGGCCAGTTGTCTGTGTCCTCCAACTATGGGTACTGCGGTTTAGGGGGGCGCCGCATATGCACAGACCCGGAGGGGCGCCATCAAAAGACAACATCGCATCAAGGGGAAGAAATCACTGATTTCAGCTTGGAGGGGGGACTGCGGCGTTGTGACCACTTGCTTGAGGGAAACATCTGTAATATTTGTGAAAAGGATTATCATTTTTCCACCATACTTTAATAATAACCACTTTTCTCACATTTCTCATCTGCACGGATTTGGATTATTTAAGAAAAAACAACTTTTTGAACACTGTCAACCCAGTGAAAGTTTTTGGATTATCTTCTAAGGTTGACTTTGTCCTCTACCATCTCAGGGATATACCTGCTTATCCCCTCCACCTGGAACAACTTAGATGAGCTCAACGCACTAATAACTAATCAAACGACCAGGCCTGGACTGA